TCTTAAAGAAATGGGATCTTATTTTCAGAATTACAATAAATGTTGTCAGTAAGAATGTGAATTGTATATAGGCAGAATCATGCATATAAACATTACTTGGGGAAAAGAGCGTCGGCGAAAGATTATTTTGAACGAATATTTCTAAGGATGTTGGACATTTGCATTCAAAATAAAAAAAAAATAAACTACTGCCTCGTCTCATAAACCAAGCACTTTAATTGTGAAGGAAATCTTTCGCAGTGGAAAAGAAAATTCATTGACCAAAATATGGGCTTAAATAGACAATATTATTATAATGATTGGTCTCTTCAGAACGTGTGTGACCTTAGCTCTCCAAAGATTATGTTTCCTTATTACGTGTGAAAGGTTATGGTACATTGGAGAAGATAGTATAGTGTCCCCCCCCGCGTTGCCTTCTCTACGGTTTCGAATTCAGTGTTTTCCTTCTGTTAGACTGGTTGCCACATAAGACTAAAGCACTCAAGTTACCTTAATATTTAACCCATAGCTATGTGATGAAAAAGTGATCTATGGCTTTCAATTAGTGCGGAAGTGAGCACAAAAGAATAGCCTTGAATTAGAACTCAGTACGGCGATTTTCGCGTGGAAATCAGTTACCGTACCACAACATCTTTTTATTGCAATAATCATTCATATAATGAAGACTGTTTTGTTTTAAAATCTTTGTACAAAATCATTGCTTGCACATTTGATCTGAACATTGACAGCGGGAACCGGAATGAGCGTCTATCCTTTCTATTAAGCAGAATCAAGAGGTTGAAAAGAAAAATAATATGAAAATAGAGACATGCGAGCAGGGAGTCGTATAGGAAGTAAGGGCGGATAAATGCCGTGAAAAAAAATATTTACAAAATAAATATTAAGAGGATGGAAGGAAATAAGGATAAAAATAAATAAAGAAATCTAAACGTAAATGACATTGTGAAAAATAAAACGAATTATATATTCGGTTTAATGAACAGAGAAAACGATGTTGGTAAAACCAGTAACTGATTCAATGGTCATAAGGAAATCAAGCGATAAACAAAGGAAGCCAAGGATAGGGCAAATATGTAAAAAGAAAAGGCAGAATAAATGATAGACTGATTATGAAACGCACGATAAACATAGAAAACGGCCCCAAAAATAAGATAAAAAAAACCCAGAAAGAATCGTAATCACTATCAATAGAGTATTGCAAAGAATTGATAATTATTTCACTTTCACTTCATTTATCCCAAGTGATATCTTATAAAAAACAGAAGAAAAAAAAACACCTTTGTTTGTGTGAGACAATACTGAGCTGACAGAAATTAATGTGTTCATACGAGAATTTTAGTTCAGACACTAATGATTGGTTTGGGTTCATTTCTTCGCTGCTATGTAATTTTCATGTAATTTCTGGTCGATGCGGGTTCTAAAATTCGTTATTTATCTTGGATGCACTAAACCTTCTGTATATTTCTTTTTTCATTGAATCATTTATAACTGTATAATTCCCCATTATATAGACGCCCGTGGATATTCTTAGTCGTCTAAATTTAACTTCTGACAAATTTTGGGATTTGCTTGTTCAAAATCAATATTGAACCAATCGTGTCTCTACACAATGTTGTCAGCCAGAGTATTCTTTGCTGGACTTTTATTAGTTTTAAAATAGAGTTCATTAAAATATAAATGAGACTCAAATGTCGTATATGCTCTACTTCAAAGATAAACCCGCCCTGGGTATGTTGATAAACTACATCTAACGTTTATGAGATTTTAAGAAGCGTGGAACCATATCTTAATTGCTGTTCTTCCTAGGTCCTCCCTGACCCCGGGGTTGTGTCCGTCAGTTAGATTCCAAGCTATGGGCAAATAATCAACCCCTACCTTGGAGTGAAAACACTATGAAAGTATAAAAATGCAAGCAATAAATTTTCATAGTAAAAAATACAGCAATAGATTTTTATAGTAAAAAATAATTCCTTACTCTATATATTTATAGTAAATGAAAATCAAGCAATAGATTGTTACAGTAAAAAAAAATAGTCCAGCAATAGATTTTTTTAGTAAAATAATTACATCAGTAGATGTTAGTAGGAAAAAAGTTACAACAATAGATTTTTATAGTAAAGAAGATTTTTCAGAAATATATTTTAATGGATAAAAATAGATTCCCAGCAATAGAGTTTTGTAGTAAAAAATTCCATCAATAGATTTTTGTAGTAAAAGATTTCAGATTTTCAGCTATAAATTTAATAATAAAAAAGATTTCAAGCAATAGACTTTAATAGTGATAAAACATTCCACTAATACATTTTAATAGTAAAAATAACCAAGAATAGGTTTTTACAGAATTTTGTATCAGGAATAGATTTTAATAGTAAAAAAATCCATCAGTAAATTTTAATAGCAAAAAAAAAAGAAAAATTACCAAAGCTCCCAAAAATATTTAATTTTGGCATTACATGACCCATATGCCATTAAACAAACAAACCAAAACCAAAAATATTCATAAACATGATAATTATAAAATAATAATAATAAAACGTTTCCTAATTTGATCAAACTGTTACAATAGGTTGTGTTTCCACTGCTTGCCGAGTTTTTTGAATAACAATTCAAGAATCGGCGAGCAAGGGAACAAAACTTGTAAAATTTAAAGAGAATTATCCTTCCACGGCATCAAATAATGTTAAAAGGGAATCATAACAACGAGTATAGAGTCAGCTAATTAAATACGCCTACTTTTTGGTTAAATTTCGATCACCGAAGTTAAACAACGTCGATCTTTGTCCGTAACTAGGTGGCTGGCCGCTTAGAAATACTTGGTCCTGAAAGCATGAATGTGCGGCTGGTGTACTGGGGATTGGTTCGAATTTGTTAAACTGAGAGCCTAATTCCAATTCCCGTTAGTTTCGTTTTATTTTTTAAGCGCAAATATCGTTGGAAAAATTATGAATGTACCTCTTTCCCTCCCACCTATGGGTTAATTAGTAAAACTTGTGTGCTTAAACCGTTTTTATCTCCAAAAATTTAAATCTAAAATCTAAAAATGATGATGGCTTTAAATAACATGCAGAAGGTTGATAAGCCATAGAAAACGAATCAATCAATCTTCGTTAAATTCATAGAAAATGGGTTCGCAGAAGGAAAAAAGGCTAAAGTGGCGAATTTGCTTTTCTGGTCGTTATCAAGAAGACTATATGTAAAGTCAATAGCCTACGATAAAAGCAATGCATGAGCCGGTTCAAGAATAAAGGGGACAGGAACTCCATTAATGCCTTTGAACATAGAATAGCAAAGGTCTCTAGCATTGAACTAAATGTTACCCAAAAAGGTCGTACGAAGAGTAATGCATTGCCAGTTACAAACAAATGGATTATATGATGGTCAGAAGGTTTCACAGTAACAGCAAATTCCGCAGTTTCTTAGAAGACGAAGAGAATATTCTGCGAAAAGAATATCTTTACAGGGACCGATAACACCAAAACACAAAGAGTAGCGATTCAGGACCAACACTCCACCTCAGATTTCTCCTTTGTTATCGTAGACTCAGAAGGGAAACGGGTGACGCCATGATCCTCAAATCTTGGTGTAGGATTTTGTTTTCCCGGCTTAATGCAATATCCTAAAATAACACATTTAGCAATGGCCTGGAGCCAACTATCAAGAAAGTAATTATGTGTGGCAGTGGAATGTTGTTTTTTTTATGTTTTTAAATCATAAAATCTTGGTCTGTTGGATAATATTCTATTCATAGTAATCCTCTTTTGTTTACATTTGAATATTTCAATGTTTGTGTCGCCGTATTGAATTCGTGTTCTTCATTCTCACATAAACACGGGTATCATTTAACAGCGATTACATTATTGGTTGTATACAAAGGAATTGCATAATCATAACACAACGACCTTTATTTGACGGGATCAAATATGGCTTCTTTTTTTAGAGACCATTCTACGTACATTTATTTGGTTATTTGAGAATGCTGTTTTATATACATATATGAACACACACACACACATATATATATGTGTGTGTGTGTTAGATCGAAAGAAAATATATCTATAAAGCCAATATAAGTAAAAGAAGAAAGGGCAAGTAAAAAATATTTTTATGTCAATGCGTTTGTTTCCTGGAAGAACATTATCAATCCAATGCGGAAATATTACTAAATAAAATTTCCACAGTTCACTTCAAAATGTACCTCAAGGAACGAAACGCGATGGCAAAAACATTTTCTCTTTGACCTTTTATATAGAGATATCACAATGTCTATGTTCATATATATGTGCACAAGCAAAATTTCCTTAATAAGCTCCAGTACAAACTGCTGAATGAATATCACTCTATGTCCATATATAAAACCACAATTGGAATTTCCTAAATAACATCCAATACCGACTGTTCAATCCATCCAAAAATAAGAGCAAAACGATTATGGAAAGGGCGTGCAAGTATACTAAAAAGGCTTTAGGTATCAACCAGTGGCGAAATACAGCCAAAACCCATTAATGGTTTACTAATATAAACAAAGAGAGAGAAATGAGTTTGATATCTGTGACTTCTCTCCATCTATCAAGGAAGATCTACCGATAGTCGCTTTTAAGAAGAAAGACACTAAGACAGGCACAGAAAACAACACTATACCACGGCCGAAACCTTTGGACTAAGACATATAACCTAGACTTTTGCGTATCTATGAGAACACATGATTCTGCGAAAGAATGCGAACTTCTAGGGATATTATTACTATGGTGACTCAGATTTGTCTCTGACTGAAAAAGCAATACACGGAGACGGCGGGATAATTTGAGACCAAGACAAGCAGATCAGATGAGATTGGACCGAACTAAATTCTTTAAGGGCCATAAACTGAATATTACCACTAATATTAAAGCAAAAGTGATGTAAACGTTACATTAAACCTGAGTATGTGCTTTTATAATCCATATACTAAGAATACATACAAACACATGTACATCGATAGGAAATCCAACCACTATATAAAGATCCTTGACAACATAAACACATCAATACAATTTAGCTTATCGACCAACGGCAGTAACAAAAAAAGAATTGAAGATATTAAATCTAAATATACGAAAGCGGTGGGAGTATGCCACCAAAAAGTGAAATTAGTGAGTGTAGAAAGAAGCAACAACAAGCATAAATGTAAGATAAAAAAACGCAAACGTATGATCTTTTGGTTCAACTCACCTTACAATAGTAACGTCGATAGGTAGAATTTTCTAACTTAAATTCTGTTTTAATGCTATGTCCAACACACCCTGTCGCCTATGTTGACTGACTATATCAGTAGCTATATATAGTGAGCACAGGATATAACTGCGGATTGCAATTAATCGGAGATACCCCACGTTAAATTCGGCCATGTGCCACATCTGACCGTGTGGGGCGGTTGGCAGATATCATTGCTTCGGCAATTAGTTGGAGATTTGTCTCCAGCTAAGCTAGTCGAACTCTATACTTTTCGGCAGAGAGGAAACCGGACGAGGATATGCCGAATGGGAAGAGTCTCATCTGGGGTGGTAGACAGCTACCCGACCACGTTTTTATGGGTTCTACGGGGAATTTCTGCACGAGCCTAAAATAACGGCCTTGTGCTACGACCTACCTCGCGAACTGGGTGAAGAAAATCATCTTGCTTCGGCAATTAGGTGGAGATTGGTCTCAAGCTAAGCTAGTCGAACTCTCTGCCTTCGAGCGGAAAGGAACCCAGAGGAAGTTATGCCAAAGGGCAGAGACGCGTCTGGGATGGTAGACAGCTACCCGACCCCGTTTTTGCGGGATCTACGGGGAATTCCTGCATGAGCCTATGCGCTTGGATTTACACCGCATTAAATAACGGCCTTGTGCCACATCCTACCTCGAGGGGGGAAGTGTGTTAAATAACCTTGCTTCGGCAATTGGAGATTCGTCTCCAGACGTGTTTGTTGGACTGTCTGAATTTGGGCAGAGAGGAACCCAGAGGAGGCAATGCTGAAGGACCAAACACTTTGGGCATTCTCCAACACTAATAAAAGATTTTCAACAAAAATAATATTAAGGTAAGCTTGATTTAATAATATATTTTAATAAGCACCAATTATTTCTCTTAAAACTAACGACATTTTTGTATGCAAAAAACAGTTATTCACCTTGAGATATAGCGTGTTTACGCAAATACAATATTTTTCAATTATTTTAAATATTTCTTTTAATACTTCGGCTTTCGAACTTGATAATTTCAATGATATAAATTATAAATAATTAATTCTAATATTATAGGCAACAATATTAAAATGAACAAGTCTTAACACACAATTTGAATTCAACAGTACGAGAACGTGAAATCCATAATGCTTAACGGTCAGTCAGTATTTGGCATCAGAAGATTGCGTATTTCTATGAAACTTCCAGTAGTTCTATCGACGTAGGCTATTATGCATATTTACTAATATATACATAATAGCGCTGTTATATTGCATTGAGCACTGTTTTAATACACAGAACGAAAAATATATATGTACGTGGAAGTATATGTGCGTATATATGTTTTAGTAATATATATATATATATATATATATATATATATATATATATATATATATATATATATATATATATATATAGCGGCTTTGATTGAGGAATCGCAGAGCAGTGTTCGAATTCAGTCGAATCCATTACGTGCTAATACCATGGGAAAGCTAATACCCTTGGGAAAGGTATGAATTCTCTCCCTCCAGCTATGGGTAAAATAGCAGGACAGACTGGGTTCTATAGCCTTGGATGGCAACTGGTCTAGGAGAAGGACAACTCTGAATACAAAACCTGCGGAGGGTCGTTTGGGGACCTTGTCGCATTCGGTGCACCAGGTCTCTGTATTCGTCCCTTCAAAAAGTGTGGATGGTCCTGCACGAGGTCTTCACCACTATAATCAAATCTCATGTGCCGGTGTCGGGCTGTCGGTTTCCTGGAAACTGATCTGCTTGACCCTCATACGTCGAATCTCGACGGGAGAGTCGATTATATTGCGTATATTTTGGCAGCATGTTTTTTATTAACACATGAGTCATTAAATAATTTAGATAAGTTTTGTATACTTATTCTTGGATCGTAGCATATTTAAAAATTACCACGTTGATGTATATCTATTTTATTCCCGAATACTTTCGTCTTTAGCACAATGTTATCTTCAGGGTCTTCTTTTTGCTAAGACAATATTCTTGTGTTGATCTGAAAATTATTTACTTATGTACTGTATAATTTTAAAATTTTATGATGTATACATACACGTGCAGTAATCTCAAGTGAGGTAAATAAAGTTATTGAGATGTCTATCTATAAAAAACCTATTTAAAAATATTAATATTGTCCTTGATAATGGTTAAAAGAATAGATAGAAACGCTGGGGTATGCAGAATTTTTAAACTGTTTTTGCACACTTTGTGCCCAAAAAAGTAAACATTTGTACGAAGAAAAAAAATGAATTAAAAAGCATAATCGCAGTAGCGTATCAATTGTCATTAACGAAACAAAAGAATAAAAGAGGGTTTGCTGACCATATATATATATATATATATATATATATATATATATATATATATATATAATTTTTTTTTTTTCTTGGACTGGTGAATTTACGAAGGCTAAGGAGAATAAACATAAACACCAGATTTTTGTTCTTTTACTAGTTTTTTTTTTCTTGTTGTTTATTCCCCCCCCTTCTCTCTCTCTCTCTCTCTCTCTATGTACCTGGGTGTTACTTTATAGATACATTTATCCATACATATGACTATCTATGCCTATATTACTGCACACATCTAAAGTGAGATTATAGAATATTTCCAAGTATCATTTTTTACGAATGTCTATTTTGAACATCAGATTGGCTAGGAAATTATTTGCCGGAAAACCACGAGTAAAAAATTCGAAAAACATAAAGTTTTCAAATTATGATGTCTCCTATTATAGTGTCTCTTCTAACAGTAAGGTTAATTTTAAACAATGCCTTATAGCGTAAACATAACTCCATATCAGTAGAACTTCTACAGATCAAATTGCTCAGTATAATGATAAAAATAATATATATATATATATATATATATATATATATATATATATATATATATATATATATATATATATATATATAATAATAATAATAATAATAATAATAATATATTTTTTCAACCGAATCCATCAAAAATATATCATAGAAAATTTTTCGGAATCTATGTAAATAGAACTTTGGGAATGATATGGATATCTACATATAAAATTTTGTGACTTCCGTTAGTCCGTCCGTCACACTCTAACATAGCCAAACATATACCAATCAAAATCAAATGTAGGGGATAATGCAAAAAGGCAAGATGTGTACAAAGTAAAGTTGGTTTTACTAAGGTGCGTAACTTAGTAAAATAAATTTTTCTTAATCATTTTGGAAAACTTAAATTAATTATTCTAACTATTTTATGAACAATTTAATGATTAAAATAACAAATACGTAATTAATAAAAATACAATATTGTTTTTGTATACGTGTAAGTTTTTATAGACAAGAATCCAGTTTCCAGTTCGCCTTGCGTTTGCGAGAAATATAAACAAATCACAAAGCTAAAGGCTTGAAAATTTTAAAATTTGGCGTCAGAAAGACATATTTGATTGGAAACCAGTAGAAAGTGATGGTAGCCTACTGCGGGAATTCTTCTGCTAAGTCGGTAACGAATCGAAAAGAAACATTATCGTCGAAACGTGTTTTTCTGGCATAGCCTCTCAGGAAGGAAGGAATAAGTGAAGCTTTCTTGTAGACAAAAATTAAAACTAAAATTGAGACGAAAGAGCCAAAATACATTGTTAAAGAACAAAAAAAAATCCTATATTAAACTTAACTTAGTATTCATTCAAATTAGAGTTAATTCGACATTTCTAAAGATAAGTGGAAAAAGATTAAAGTATCTCAAAAATTACGAAAAGAGGCTTATAACATTTAAACGGCAACAGTTCGAAAATGATTCTAAATATTTAGCACTGAATCGCTGTGTCAAGGAGAAATGCTCTACCTGAGCGTCAAAGTCCTGGGTATGACGATAAACTACATCCAGCAGCAAGGCCTCTGATCATGAGATTTTGTGAAGCATGGAACCACATCTTAATTGCTTTTATTCCCAGGTTCGCCGTAACGCAGGGTGGTTGCACCTGTTAATTTCCTAGCTACGGGCAAATAATTAACTCAACAAACTGCTTTCAAAACACAATGAAAATACAAAAATAAATTTTTATAGTAAAAAATACCAGCAATATATTTTTGGAAAAAAAACAAAAAAGATCAGCAATACTTTTGACTCCCGATTAAAAAAAGAAAAAACAACAAACAGACAAAAAAACTTTACAAAACATTTTTAATTTAATTGATGTGAAGGGTTTTTAAAGTGTCACGAATGACAAAAGGTCAGTGATTTTCATTCCATCTTGATAAGACTTTGCTACAATTGACACTTCACTGGGAACAAATATATATCCGGTTCTACTATGTTTAAAATGCGCTGAAATTTAGACTTAGTGTGTGTGCGTGTCAGTGTGCGTGTCTATAAGTATATGTCAAGTGAGCGTGTGTGCCTGTGTGTGTGTGTACTTCTTTGTGTGTGTATGTGCGTGTCTGAGTGTGTGTCTATCTGTACATGGCTTTGTGTGAGTGTTTAAGTGCGCGTATGTATGCATCTGAGTGCATCTCCAGAGGCTAAATTACATCGGAAAACCACTGAATATTTTGTAAGCCGTGGAATTAAGATAAAGAGCTTTAGAAGGTAGGGGGTGAAAAGGAAGTTTGCCTGTATATGTATGTATAGATAGATAGATAGATAATGAACAGACTGAGATAGATAGATAGATAGATAGATAGATAGATAGATAGATAGATAGATAATGAACAGACTGAGATAGATAGATAGATAGATAGATAGATAGATAGATAGATAGATAGATAGATAGATAGATAGACAGAAATCTGATTTTTTACAAAGAAATACAGATTATATTCATACGAACGTGTGCTAAAAATAGTCTCTGTATTAAATATCTTATTGAGGTTGATATGCCGTAAAAAAAATAAAACAAAACTGAACCCCGACAAATGGTGCAAATTTATGTAATTCTGAACATGTGTTAATGAAGGAATCTCGATATGTCGTCTCTACTGCAAACGTGAAAATATAGACTTCCACATGGCAAGTGGAACCCTGCCGTCGCACTTAAATATGCGCTTCTGATGCGGCCCCAGTTCTCTTCAAACTCTACAACAATTGACCCACTGCTTCCTACTTTCCAGCTTATTTGAAATTCCCCTATGTAGTTCATTTTTAAGAACACTGGAGAACACCTCAAATTATCGCCATATTAGTCTCTTGTCGTGTTTCGGCTCTTATCAATGCTGAAGTTTCTAAGCGCCTTACGACCTCCTCTCGAACAAACCATTGGCTTCCGTTTCGCCAGGTCTACCGTTGATGTGCTAACGGCCATTGCTGAATATGTATATCAAGTTTTAGATAAAAACGGCAAATGATCTCCCCGATGTGATCACTTAACAGCTAAGTATTTTTTCTCGTTCGTTCCTGTGGAATACCTTCCGTTTCATTGCTTCCCTGATGAATACAATCTTCAAAAATTTAAAAGCAACGTCAATCGCCATTTTCTGTCTATATGGACCCCGTTCAGCTTTTGTCATTTTTATCTATCCTCCCTATTCTCAATCTTCTTTTTCACATTTACCTCTCACCACTACTTGTGGTATTACAGCCTTTTATGGGGGGGTCGAATGATTAAATAAAAATAATATTGCCTTATTCTGTATCAAAAGAGAGCCATAAATAGAAAAGCGAAATCGGGTTAAATCTTAACTATAGAACTGAGGTAGATACAAAATGTCACTTAATCTATAGCGTCGTGGTAATAATTTGTGATTATAAATTTTAGTGTAAAAGAAAATGAATCAGGATTTTGCCATTTCAAGAAATAATTAAGAGAAAAAAGCAAGGAGAAGATTAAACATATATCTATATTTTAAAATGCAAACTGAGAACATTCCGGAACAAAAAAGAGAAGACAATGAATATCTATTTGTTTGTAAGTTTCCTAACGTTCACTTTGCATTTTTGTTCATGAGAAGGGAATTACTGCCCATCATGTTTGGGTGTGTGGAAGGTTGTTTTTTGTAAGTTTGAAGGTTTTGACAGCCCCTGTGTCGCATTTACATACTCGGATAGGTGTTTCTAAGTGAGAATTATCTACAAGAGTCTGTGCTGCTTTTATCAGAACTTGTCATGCTAATTTGTCGGTGAATCATGTAACATGTATAGGCTTATCGCACTGGTTTTCATGATGTGTATATTTGGCTTCGTATATTTATATGTAGCTTCAGTTTGTTGGCCTATTGCTACTTCACAGAAACAACATGAGCATCAATAATAATAATAATAATAATAATAATCGCCTATCATCCAGTTTTCACACCGCCCGCTCTTTCCGAACAAGAGTAGAGGCTTATCCCTTATTTCCTGTTTATGAATAGTTTTCAAGTTCCTTTTAAAGTCTCCTCATTATCTTCCACTCGTAGTAGCTTTTGTTATTTTATTTTTATTTTTTAGAGGAAGTGGATTTCGGTTCAAATTTCCTCAGGTTGACCTTAGAGGTCTGATGGAAGACAAAATAAGGAAGTCAAATTTGAGTGACTGGGAGATAATAGATATAGAGAAAAGGTTTTTCACTGAATTGTTTCTTAACCGTTTGAGCAATTTAGACGTGTTTCTTTCGCGTCTGTGGAAGGAGAGCGACTCGATTGGACAGTTAGAAAATGTAAACGTCGATATAATTAATAAAATAGTTCAGTTTAAAATTATCTGTGTTATTTTATCTCTGGACCCGAAACAACTAGCGATGGTCAGCTACGAGAGAACACTGCAACTTTACTATCGAATTGACGATGTCACACCAAACCACCACAACAAAGGCTATGCACACTCTTAGCTTTTTAGAGGCGTTGTTGCCTTGTTTCTGATGAATTGATTTTAAGGAATAAAAATTCATATCAAAATTAACTAACCATTTTCTTTAAAAATTCTATATAATTTGGTTCCCAAAAATAACACATATTACAAGTTTTAGCATAGCTTAAACTTGGTGTATATACAGATTGTGGAAAGTATTTCTCTTGGGCTTGTATCCACTGTTTCAAATCCATCTGATATTATATATTACTAAGAAAGCAATTATTGATTTGGACCAGGTACAACTTTCATGATGGATTGAAGTTGGTTTATATTAGACGAGCAAAGCGAAAGAAAAATTGACAAATTATATAAAAGAAAGGAATGAAAGTTTCTATAATTAAAGCTATTTTTATTGAACAAAATAACAGCTAAACGTGAAATATAATGAGGGAAAAATAACAAACAAACAATCTGACAGGTTGGATCGTAAACTTGTTCTCGTGGTTATTTCCTTAGCGAAATTGTAATGGGTTCGTTTGAAATAAACTAGAGGAGAAAAGAAATGAAATGAAGGTGAAGGAAAAAATGAGGACGTAGAAAATAATAATAATAATAATAATAATAATAATAATAATGATAATAATAATAATAATAATAGTAATAATAAGAAAAAAAGTAAAATAAGAAAAGTCAAACATATTTCATTGTGTTGGATCCGCGTTTGAATGAAATATAAATCACGCGATTTGACGAGAAATAATTTCAACAAACAAATATGGCGGAAAAGGAGAAAAAAGACTAAAGAAAATCAGCGGTTGATCTTTCTATTTTACATTGTTGGAATCGTTCACGTTCTCTCGCAATCACTCAATCACTCGCACTTTCTCTCCCTCTTACTGTATCCTGTCGGCAGGAACTGTAAGCCAGGGCACATAAAATCTAATTGTGTACTCTGTGTAGCCAGTAAATATAGAAGGTGCACAGACGTCGTCTTCATTCATTTTAACGATTCATTTTGTTACTTTGTGGAGACACCCTCAATTACAAGTACATAAATGCATATATATACATATATATATATATATATATATATATATATATATATATATATATCACACACAGAGGAAGCGTATCATCACAATATTCATATATATGATCATTACTGATTTTCTGAAGTGGATACCTCTGAGATCATGTTAACATCTCTTGTGTGCATGAATTCAGAAATAATTAAATGTTTGTGAAGATACATTTATGAATTTACATATATACGCGTCTGTATATATGAACAAGTGGATATATCCATATATATAGGTGATGCGTGTGTGTGTGCGTGCATGTGTGTGTGTGTGTGTGTGTGTGTGTGTGTGTGTGTGTGTAAAAAAATACACATATGGGCGAGGTAATGCTGAAAATTACTTAAGCCGACAAAAAAGTGCTTCCACAAAAATATTCCGAAGCCTTAATCAGATTTTCGGAAATATATAGTGAGAAGTATGTTTCATTACATTCACACCCATATATATATATATATATATATATATATATATAGAGAGAGAGAGAGAGAGAAAGAGAGAGAGAGAAAGGGGGCAGAGAGAACACAGGATGAGTGACATCGAGAGACGGAGTGAACAAGCAACTTGTGGCGCCTGATAATGTTGTTATGTAACTTTAAATGTTCACAACATTATGTTCAATCTACTGAATTTGTTATCAAAACATTAAGTAACCTAGGGTGTATATATATATATATATACAGGGGTTGGACAAAATAATTGGAACACTTGTTAAATTCAAAGAAAATTTATTTAATATGGAGTGGGTCCTCCTTCAGCCTCACAGACAGCTTTAATAGGTCTAGGAATGGAATCATACAGCTTCCTGATTTCATCTAGAGGAATTTTCAGCCATTCTTCCATTAAAACCTCCCCCAGCTCTTTACGACACGGCGGTGGAGGATAGCGGCTCCCAACTTGTTGCTCCAAAATGCACCACAAATGTTCAATAATATTGATATCTTGAGATTGGGGAGGCCACTCTATTATTCCATGTGTTTGAGCTCACTTTCATGCACTTCATACCAATTCTTAACCACTCGAGCGGTATGCATTGGAGCATTATCGTCTTGGAAGATGCAGTCACTATCAGGGAATAAAGTTTTGGCCATTGGATGAACATGATCTCCCAAAATGTTCAGGTATTCTTTGCTGTTCATTCTACCATGCAGGGCAACTATTGGACTGAGATATTTCCATGATATGGCGGCCCAAACTATCACTGATCCACCTCTATGCTTCACTGTTGGAAGAAGGCAGTCAGGGTTGTAAGCTTCTTTGGGTTGCCTCCACACATAAACTCGCCCTGAATTTGGGAAAAGAGAAAAACTGGACTTGTTTGAGAATATGACTTGCTTCCATTGGTCTGCAGACCAGGCATTGTGATCTCTGCACCACTTCAACCTCATTTGAATGTTGCGAGAGGAGAGAAGAGGTTTCCTCACAACGGCTCTTCCATGATATGTAGGTTTATGGAGCTCACCCTGAACAGTTTTAGTAGAAACTGAACTATTCAGATGGTTATTCAACTCAGCAGTCACTTTGGCCGCAGATGTGCGATGATTTTTTGCGCCATTGCGTTTCAATGCACGTCAGTCCCTCTCAGTAAGTTTGCTTGTCCGGCCCGAATTGCTACGGTTGCTAGAGGTCTTGCTATGTTTCTCGAATAGCATCAGTGTTCTTGATATGGTAGCTCTTGAAAAAAACATGCGAGTTCCAATAATTTGATCTTTTTCGAACTCAGAGAGGTCACGCATTCAGATTAAATTTTACTAAATTCTAAAAATAAATCAGACAAAGACAGTAAATTAGATAATTAAATGTATTTCCAATAGATATAACTTTTAATTACGAAGCTTTGGTTAAGGTTCTTAATATAATAGGTCTTTGAAATATAGTAGTTTTATTTTGCAACAGATCCAATTAACTTATTTTGTCCAACCCCTGTACATATATATATATATATA